CCCCACCCCGCATTCTGTCATGACCCCATGTGCTAGGCTGCAATGTCTGGAGCAGAGAGGCAGCCCCAGCCCCTCCCAGAACTGGAGCCGCAGGAGCTGCCACTGCCGGGTGAGTTTATTAAAATCACGGACACAAAGACAAGTCACAGACAAATGGGAAAACCACAGTATCCACGACATTTTTCCCACTGTGACAAACCTGCTGCCCTAATGATGACACAAGGTGTAAGGCAGAGGAGAATCAAGTCCTGGGTACAATTTAATTATAGTTCTCGTTAATGTTGTTGTCTTTCATTAGTTTCTGCTTTCAAGACTATTAGCTTTATTTTAAGAAGAAAAGTCAGGGAGACATTTATATCTAGATGGGTTACTGGAATTAGACAGAATGCTACCAGATAATGCATCACGTTAAGTGAAGTAAGAATATTAATTTACTAGCTCACTAAACGATAACAGGAGCCTGAAAGCACTTACGTTGCTTTCATCCACTAATCAATATAATTATCTTTAGCTTTCTTCAATTTAATTATTGCTTTTTACAATCAATATCTATTTCATTAAATCACATGCAACCGAAGAAGGGATCAGAGTTCAGAGAATCATTTAAAGAAAAAGATCTGCACAATCTCCAGGAAAGCCTAGAAACAGCCTAGCTAAAGTCACTCATGCATTATTAGGACAATAAATTTATTCCTCATTCTACTCTACTATTAGGGATGATTCAACATATTCTGTATTGAAACTGCAAAATGTATGAAAGCATCTCCTACAGTTAATTATTTCCACATCAATGGTTGGCAGTTAAAGTGAAGGGAAATATAGAATATCTTTGAATGCAACCTGATGCTGCTAATTCACCAGAGCACTAGAGGTGAAAATGCTATGGGTACAGTTCAGTTAAAAGCTGTATTTGCCTTTTGCCAAAGAGGGCAGGGGGAAGGGGCGGAGGAGAAAATACAAAAATATAATGATTTTAACTTCTTGTATATTTAAATGGAGTCAAATGAAAAGTTGAGCACAAAAAGGAAAAATTAGCAAAATTTTTCTTTCTGCTGTTACCAGACTGAGCAAAAATGTTCATATTTAGCCTGAGTCTGGCTGCAAATGTTGCCATAAAAGAATACTTTGACCCCAGTGAAAACTGAGTTTTAAACCTACTCACTTAGTTCTGAGTGCACTAATGAGCCTGGGACCAGGTCCAAAGCCCATTAAGTCACTGGGGGTCTTTCTACAGACTCCAATGGGCTTTGAACCAGGCCCTTTATTCTTTTCAACAGCAGAAGGTTCATGTTTATTTAACTTCCATCATTTCAGCACAACACCCAGTTACATCCTCATCAGTGGTCAGCGTCAAGGTTCATGGGTTATATTCCCAAGATTTGCCCTTGATTTATTGTGTAACACTTGGCAAGTGACTTAACCTTTGTTCCTCAGAATGTCCAGCTGTAAAATTTACTATAATACCTACCTCAACAGGGAAAGTTGTCAGAATTAACCTTTATAAAGAGCTTGATTTCAACGGTGGTACATCAGTTCACAGCAGCTGAGGATCTCACCCATGTCCAGTTTGCCTTAAGTTCCCTGATTTGACACTTATTCAGGGCTTGACTCAGTAATATTTTTGCTCCAGAGAGTTGACATCCTGAAAATATTTTGAGCATCCACTGCTTGGTTAATGAATTGAATGGAAAACTGACTTTCCAACTCTCCTCATTCCATGCTACCAGTGCAGAGCACATGTCTTCTTACTGCCAACTGCCATTGCAGTCTGACTGTGCTAGGACACTATGTGTCCCTCCCATCTGTCACAAATGCTTGATCATAAGCCATGGGCTTTCTCTGAGTTAAGTGTTACTAAGGCCAGAAAGGGGGAGAAAAAAATTAATAATTGTATGAAACTGGACATACTGGAAGACTAAGACAATTGGCAATGGAATATACAGCCTCTCTCCTTCTAAGTCACTGGTTTGAATCTAGCTCAGGTTAACTAGTGACTGAAAGTTATCATCATCCAATGGCTGCTTGGTGGCCTCAGTCCAGTTCTCAATGGAAAAGTGTCTGCATCACAAAAGTCATGATTAAAACCAAGACTATAGTTATCTAATGTGCAATTTGCACCCATCAACTCAGCAATTTAGCAGAGAGGCCAAGGAACTTGTTGCCTGACCTATTCTCTCACCACTATAGGAGGTTCCACCAGGTCAGGGTTGGGACAATGTGTGGGTAAATAAAGGATGTCAGTCTCCAGAGATGCCACCTAGCACCCATGTAATTGTTATAGGGTGACCTGTGTTGTAGACACTTTGCAGTCCCTCTCAAATGCACCCCTCATGTGACAGGATTTACTTCCTTCAACAAGGGTGGAACCCCACAGTTCAATCACTTAAACTGAATAACTGGGCTGCAGCCACCCTGTTTTCCAACACTGTTAACACAACCAGCCCAAGCGTATTTGGCACTTGCAAGAAACTTTCCTCCAGAAACTTCCCAGCCTGTGTCCAGCAGCTGATTAAAGTGACTCAAAACAGCTTTTTTCCAAATAAACATATTGTTTATTCACCCAAAGATTCACAGCAATCAGAGAACTGGGTTAAAATAACAAAAATCTACATGCATCTGGTCTTATCTAGGAAGCCTAGGAAGGTTCACTTAACCCAGAAAGCCCCACCTCAGGGCTGGGATAGATAGAGTGACCTCCTTCATTCTCTGACTCTAGTAGGGTCTGTATGTCAGTGTTTCTCCTTCAGTTGCTACTGGCCACTTTCCCGCTCCTTCTTTAGAGAGACAGTTTTTAACTGTTTATGGCTCTTTTGATTTCTAGGCTCTGGTCTTGAGGAAACAGCTGTGTAACTTTTGACTGGTGCCTGGGAAGGGCATCTTCCCAATTAGTGGCCCAGCCATTGTTCTCTTGAAGTTGTTTACCCAGAGCTCTTATCTCTGACCCTTGGTTTGTTTCCTGTTTGTTCTTCCTACCAACCCCTTTTAATTCAGTTCCATGTAGTCATAGATAATATCAAGCAGGTAAACTGACATACATATAATATAGGTTTCAGAGTAGCAGCCGTGTTAGTCTGTATCCGCAAAAAGAACAGGAGTACTTGTGGCACCTTAGAGCAGGGGTCTCAAACACGCGGCCCACGGGGCTCTTGCATGAGACCCGCCAAGCTCCCCCCACCCCTCCTGCCCCTCTGCCTACCCGCGGGATTGCCCCCTGTGGCGCTGCGAGCCCCGCGCCGCTGTCTGAAGCAGCTGGCAGCACGCCCCTTCGGGCCGGGGGGGAGGGAGAAGGAGGCTGAGGGCTCCTGCATTGCTTCCTTCCAGGCACCGCCCCCCGCAGCTCCCATTGGCCGGGAACAGGGAACCGCGGCCAATGGGAGCTTCGTGGGAGGTACTTAGAGTTGCAGCAAGAGCAGCACACGAACGGAACCCTGAACCCCTCCCCCTCCCCCAGGAGCTTCAGGGACACAGTTCCATGTGGTTCCTGAAACAGAGCGGCCCGGGGCCGGCGCAGGCTACAGCCCCGGTGCGTGCCGCTGCCACCCTGGAGCCGCTCTAGGTAAGCGGCGCCAGGCTGGAACTCGCACCCTGCCCTGAGCCCCCTGCCACATCCCACACCCCTCCTGCACCCCAACTCCCTGCCCTGAGCCCCCTGCCACATCCTGCACCCCTCCTGCACCCCAACTCCCTGCCCTGAGCCCCCTGCCGCATCCCGCACCCCTCCTGCGCTCCCTGCCCTGAGCCACCTGCTGCACCCCGACCCCCTGCCGCACCCCTCACCCTCTTGCACTCCACACACCAACTCCCTGCCCTGAGCCCCCGCCGCACCCTGCATCCTTTTTGCACCCCCTGGGGGCAGCGTTAGGGTGGTGACTTCGGGGAAGGGGATGGAATGGAGCAGGGAAGGGGTGGGAAGAGGTGGGGCAGGGGAGGGGCCTAATGGAAGGGGTGGAGTGGGGGCGGGGCCAGAGGCAGCGAGGGGGGGTGTCAGTGATGCGGCCCTCGGGTCAATGCACTAGTCCTCATGTGGCCCTCGTGGTCATTTGAGTTTGAGACCCCTGCCTTAGAGACTAACAAATTTATTTGAGAATAAGCTTTCGTGGCCTACAGCCCACTTCATCGGATGCATAGAATGGAACATATAGTAAGGAGATATGTATACACATACAGAGAACATGAAAAGGTGGGTGTTGCCCTACCAACTCTAAGAGGCTAATCAATTAAGAGAAAAAACTTTTGTAGTGATAATCAAGATAGCCCATTTCAGACAGTTTGACAAGAAGGTGTGAGGATGCTTAACATGGGGAAATAGATTCAATGTGTGTAATGTATCAGAGGGGTAGCCGTGTTAGTCTGGATCTGTAAAAAGCAACCAAGAGTCCTGTGGCACCTTAGAGACTAACAGATGTATTGGAGCATAAGCTTTCGTGGGTGAATACCCACTTCGTCAGACACATGTAATGGAAATGCGTCTGACGAAGTGGGCATTCACCCACGAAAGCTTATGCTCCAATACATGTGTTAGTCCGTAAGGTGCCACAGGACTCTCTGTTGCTTAATGTGTGTAATGGCTCAGCCATTCCCAGTGTCTGTTCAAGCCTAAATATACATATAAATATACATATAATATAGATATCTCCCTCATTCTCCACAATCCTTCATGAGCACTAAATTCACACCCATGAATTATGTTGAGATTAAAGGAGGAGCCTGGAGGTAAGATCAGAGGCACAAATTCTTTATACCATAATGGTTTACATAATTCTTTTGCAAGTTGCACAGCCTTCATAGAATCATAGAAATGTAGGGCTGGACCGGGCGCTCAAGAGGTCAGCTGAGTCCATCCCTTCACGCTGATGAGTTGGCTATCCAGGTGCAAAGATTAAGGACTGCTCAGCATTCTTTTTCAGTTTGTAAGCCATGCAAGCCCCAGGAATATTTCATGATTAACAATGCCCTTGCATGGGTTTAAACATTTATTTTTCAAAAGAGATCATACTTACATTGTCATTGCTTCCTTTGTTGTCCTCATATTTTGTTTCTACGTGAATGGAGAATTTAGGCAAAAATGAGCACTGCAAAGAAAGCAAAATGTGTCCGATCAATTAAAAATGTCAATTGCTTCATCAGATCACATGTTAAATAAATCCGGTTTTCTAGCAGCTTTCCTATTTTTTCCTGATTATTGCAAGAAATGGAATCAAAATCACTGAAAATCCACAATTGCAAGTTTTTTTTAAATGCTTTTGAAAGGATGTATTGATTCTATCCCAAAGTTGAGCACTAAAACAAAGTTATAACTAAACTAATATTAATATTGTGGGACAACTAGTTATAGCAGTCAGTGTATATTTGATACACAACTGTGGCTATATTCTGAATGTTCCTCCACTACTCTCTGTCTTAAGTATCGCTATATTTTTCGGAACTTTTGAGCTGTTGTCCTATAGACCTTTTCCTTGGATGACTAACATTTCCAGAGCAATGCCTATCTGCCCTATGCACTAAGTCTATGGAAATTCCACTGCCTGCAGTTCCCGATCAAAATGTTGAGGATGCTTGAACATGCAGTTATTCTCTAATTCCAATATGATGCAGGTTTTAAAGTAATCTCATTTTGATTTTCCCTGGAAATTTTCTTAATTTTGGCATCCAACCAAACACACCGTCACATCAATCCGCCCACATAGTGCAAGAAAAATTACAATCATACAAATGTTTTTCCTATCGACCAGGAAGGGAATCTGATGCCCCTATGCTCTCATATGGGCAAATTCTCATTTAGACTCATACAACTCCACTGACTTGAGGGAGTTGGCACATACTCTTCATGTCAAATTTTGCTCTAACATTGGTGCATATCCACTAGTGTTACTTTACACAAAGACTAGCTTTCTTTCTCTGTGGATTGTTTCATTCAGTTGGTTTCTAAGGGTACGTCTATACTTACCTCCGGGTTTGGCGGTAAGCAATCGATCTTCTGGGATCGATTTATCGTGTCTTGTCTAGATGCGATAAATCAATCCGAAGTGCTCGCCGTCGACACCGGTACTCCTGCTCCGCGAGAGGAGTACGCGGAGTCGACGGGGGAGCCTGCCTGCCGCGTGTGGACCCGCGGTAAGTACCTTGTAGTTCGAACTAAGATACTTCGACTTCAGCTACGTTATTCACGTAGCTGAAGTTGCGTATCTTAGTTCGAACTGGGGGGTTAGTGTGGACCAGCCCTTAGAGTGCAATTTGCAGTGCTAGACAACACAATTTCCCTTTAGAGACTATTTCAAGCATCTTTTCTTTAGCGTTTCACACTCTTGCTCCCAAATCAATTTTTTTCACTATACTTAAGCAGCCAGGCCTGGTCTACAATGCGGGGGGGATCAATCTAAGTTATGCAACTTCAGCTATGTGAATAACGTAGCTGAAGTCGATGTACTTAGATCTACTTACCGCGGTGTCTTCACTACGGTGAGTCGACTGCTGCCGCTCCCCCGTTGACTCTGCCTGCGCCTCTCACCGAGCTGGAGTACATGAGTCGATGGGAGAGCACTCGGGGATTGATTTATCGCGTCTAGACTAGATGCGATAAATCGATCCCCGCTGGATCGATCGCTGCCCGCCGATCCGGCCGGTAGTGAAGACATACCCCCAGAGTCGATGGCCAGCAATCCTTGAATGATATTAGTTCAACCACTTTACTATAAAGGCATCAAGTCTTTTCTTGCATTAACTGTCAGTGACACTGACGTGCCAGTTCTTTGCAAGACATTTAATTGATGCCTGATGGCAAAGAGTCTTTGAACTGCTTGTGACTATTTCAAACATTATGTATTGAGGTTACACAATGAAGAAAATTTGATGCTTCAGTGCTCACATTGCTACTGGCCCAAATTTGGACTTGATCAGAGTTGATTTTCTTCCTCCAACAGGAAGGGAGGTAGCTTAGAGAGTCAGCTGCTGCGGAGCAAAGCTGAAAGTGGAAGCAGGTTCTTCCTGAGACTAGAGAATTTAATGTTTTCTATTCCCTGGACTATATGAAAAGAAGCCATTGATTGAGCCTCTAATTTTGGCCACAGAACACCTACTATTCATTAGCAGCAGCTGAGCAATAAGCATGGACCACTCAAACCTTTGTGCAAAAAAGAGTGAGATGTTTATGCCAGAACAGGGCCCTTCAATGGATTTAGAGAACAATTTTTACCAAACATTTAACACAATACTTACCAGCTATGAAAATATCTAGGCCATCCACTACGCACCTTATTTATGATATTAATAGTAGACCAGTGATAAATGTGGTGCAAGAAAAAACTCAGTGGTGTGTGCAGTGGAGGATGGAACAGCTTCAGAGATGGCCCAGTAGGTTCTAATTACCCCTATCTTTGGGGCCATATGTTACTTGGTATGCACACATCTCAGAAGGCTAGGTGAGTGTATTCGTTATTCATCAGCAATCAGATAGAGCTGGAGCTAATGCAACGCAGGCTAACAGATCAGAAACCCAGATAGTCTTCCAACTTAGGTTTGACCAGCAGAGTCTCAGCTGACCTCAACATACAGTATGTTTTATTCCTGTCCCAGGTCTTCCAATCTGCCAAAAACATCCCTATTTTATTTCCCCAAGTTCTCAAGGCAGCTGCAGAGCTTCAGTCATCACTCCCGAAAGCGGGTCAAGCAAAAGGGTTGTTTTTTCCACCTTCTGCATTACAGAACTACTCAACGTGTTATGACTGGGCTGCCCACTTCTGCTGGGCTACACAAACCCTGCCACAGCACAGCACAGTGCATGCTCTCATGTGGGGGAAGGCATCAGATTGCCAGTGGTGGGTTAGGATTGTGGGAGAGAAATTACAGTGAAAAGTTTGCTAGTGCCTACTGGGAAGGCTATTACACATAAAAGCAGCAAGATGAAAAGACAGAGCAGATGGACAACACAAGACCCTCAGGATGCTTTGCTGATTAGTTGCTAGCCGGTCTGAGCATGAACGAGATTTCAATATTTTTTTCAGTCCACTACCAACAGTGTTCTTTCCACCTTTATACATGGATGTGAAAGCTGGAAATCCATCAGAGGTACAGACAGATGTCTAAAATGCCTTCGAAAGCAAACATATATCACAAATGCCGAGATTCATCAGAGAGTTCAATAACTTATCTCCAAAGTTATCCAGAAAAGAAGATGGAAATATCTGGGACATGTTAAGAATAAAGCCAGAGCATCTGTTGTGGCAGGTGTGCTATTGGGTACCTTGAGGAACGTGTAAAAGGGGCTGACTGAAAGAACCCCTCTGTCAAATAGTACTAAGCTGGGGGTGGGGGGAATATGGGACTTAACAACAGAGAGAACATGCAAAGAGAGGCCCAGCATGGGGAAGGACAGCAGAGTCCTGTTTGTACCCTAAGCAACATTTGATGGTTCCAGAAGGATTCAGATTATAAACAGTAAAGAACCACAGCATCGAGAGTATGCTTGCTGTTTTACACTCTGTTTTGTGTGCATGGGCAGGTGGATGGTGGATAAAGCAAACTGCTATAGAAAGTAGGCTATATACTGCAGATTTTTTTAAATAAAAAAGAAAGAGAGACTCATCACATACATATTGCCATGCAGAATTTTTGGAACAGCTAGAAAAGAAGGTGGCCAAAACATGGCATGTAGAGTTCTACTGCGGCCCACGGCAGCTGTGATTTTTAATAGGATGGCGTGTAGCCTGCAGAGACTACAGGTCTGAGCACGTAATGCTCCAACTAGATTCAAGCTGGAATTCTGCATGCTGAGACTTCTGCCAGGAAGCACCATGTAAGAGATGAGGGCAGTTGCAACTTGTTGCATTTTAGAGATGGCTCCTGGCAAGTGTGGTTTTGTGTGGGTGGAGTCTGGTTATGCCTGCCTTTACTGGGGGTCAGTGTTTAGTTTTGAATTATTGGGTTCGCCAAAAATTTCACCAAATTTTTTAAAAAAGTGGTTGCTTCACGAGTTGCTAAATGTTTGGAGCATTTGGTAGGAAAACACAGTTGATTGGTGTTCTGCCTGCATGTCTTCAGGCTATTGATCTGTGTTTGTTAACGTGTTTTAGACACTAGCTCTTCTGGTCTGAGGGTGCAGATTTAATTCTCTCTTTTACACAACTTTTAAGAAAACAAAACCAAGTAAAAATCAAATCTAGCAAACAGCAGAAGTTGTAGATGAAATATATGAGCAGCCAGTTGGTGGAGAGTCATCAAAGCATGTACTATCTGAGCAGACAAGATCCAGGTCTGGCCAACTTGGGAAGCCACAAAGCTGATTTCTTAAATTACACAGTACAAGTCTGGTGCTTTGTCCAAAACCTCAACAGTTATGTAAATTACACTTACCACTCTGGCTCTAATGGCTGCGGATAGTGCAGCTGCTCCCATATCCCCAATTACCCTGCTTGCCACAGGAAGTGGTGCTGCCATCTTAACCTTTGCTAGGTTGTCACTGAAAACCCCCTTGTTGGCAGAAGTAGTTTTGTCACATCCACTTTTCTGTTTCTGGTTGCTATGCAGACAAACACCCTCCCTGCCGCCACCCACCCACTGATTCCTCTTCCCTTGAGCCAGCGAAAGTATCCGTGTGCTATGATCTGACTGTCAAGTCCCTGGAGGTGTTGGCTGGAACGTATTTTCCACAATATAAATACCTTTTTTCTTCATTTATTGAAACTGTTGCCGTTGGGTACATCTACACTGCAATCATCCTACGATTGCAGCTTGTGTAGATGTAGGTACAGATTAAAGCTAGCTTGGGTATATCGACTGGAGCTGCAATCACACCCCAGGACTTCAGTGTAGATATGCCCCTGAAATCACTGCAACCTCACAGTTAATAGAGGATAGCAATCAAAATCATTCTCTCTGCCTTAGTGGGCTAAAGCGAAGCTGCAGGTTCAGTACAATTATGACTCCTGAATAAACATGGATAACAGAGAGGATTTTTAAATATATAGACATCTGGGGCATGACCCTATTTTATATAACAGAGTATTGGATAAATCAGGCGACACTATAGCAAGCTTCTTAGTAAATGGCAACCCCCAAATTTAAGTCCTGCTTAAGT